AACTTTTTTCGTTGACTTGTTAACTTTTTTTCATCTTAATTTCCAGTAGGTAATATATAATTCAAGATATCATCTAATTGGTCAAATGCCAAAATAAGATGCATATCCATGTAGCAATATCTTTGCTGAATGGCTGGATATAGATCTTTTGCTTCTAGACCTCACTGATGGATACCTGATTTTGATACCTACAGTTTGTAAACATGCTCATAAAAGAATCCCTACTTTTTTAACCCTTTTTGTCAAATTTAAAATATATTTATATATGAAAAGGACGTTAGACAAGGGATGTCAAAGTCAAAAACACCGAGGGCCAAAAAAAACAAATTTGCTACAAGCTGAGGGCTGGACTGGTTAAATGTTTATTCAAACATACCGAAATGAACATAGCCTATTGAACCAAGACCTAACACATTGGTTTGTTTTTTTTAAGCAAAAATATTTATATCAATATTATTACCAAACTAATTAAGATAGATACATCAATGAAAGTGCGTGCATTATAAACTGAAAATGCAATACTGTGCTACTCTATGATCCTACCGATCACTGCTTTCAAATAGTAAAATAAGAAAAAAAAAATCTGTTTTTTCATTCCATTCAACTGAAAAATATGAATAAATAAAATAAAATACTAAAATCTATGGCTCACAGACAAAACAATACTTCCTTCAAAGAAATATCACGTCTTGTACAAAGAAATGTAAAAAAAAATTGTGATGAGTCACAGCAGCAGACCCAGAATTCAGCCAGAGGTTCTTTAAAAAAGGAATTTATTCAACAAAAATCAGAGAAATAACAAAAAGGGCCAAAAAATCAGAAAGACTAAAGACTACAGGTATCAGCAGAGGCTGATTGAAGCCAAAAAAAAGGAGCCTGGATGGAAGGAGGGGGGATGGAGACGGACACGCTGCAGAGCGAGGGGCAGATGGGATCAGACGGCACAGTCGGGGCAGAGGTCTGCACCTGTATGTAGCGCTCCGCCTCGATCAGAGTATCGTACGGATCCCACCTGCCTGCAAAAACAATCCAAAAATGCAAAGCACAACAAAAAAAGAAAAGGAAAAAACACAATCATGTTTTCCGCAGGGAATGTAGTGTTGGTGCATGTGACACAACCGCAACAACACTACATTCCCCACAATGCAACGGTAGCCCGCTAAGTCGCAAACACAAGCAGCCGTGGCCTGTGGGCCTTTCATAGTGGTAACTATATACCATCCAGAGGGCCGTGGATAAACAATCTGCGGGCCGGATGTGGCCCGCGGGCCTTGACTTTGACATATGTGCGTTAGACCAACACCAAGTGGTTCATGTTTACAGAGTGGAAAAAAAATATGTTTTTATTTGTAATCAATTTATTTCATATAAGATTACTAAAGACAGCCTTGTGACTCTACTAGCTTTGCACATCTAGAGACTAATATATTTTTATTGCCCTCGATAAAAGAACCCAGAAATACTATTTATTGCAGCATCAATTTCCAGTGATTATAAATTAGCTCTGGACTTGGAAGCATTATATATCTGATCTTAATGCCCGAATGTCGCTTTTTTAGTGTTATGTGTGTTCATTTATGTAAAAGTGTGAAGTGAATTTTATTTAGTCATTTTTGCAAGCATGGAATTTTTAAATAAAGAAAAAATGCTATCCAGCAATGAAACTTTGAAAAACGTCTTAGTTAAAATATATATTTAAAAAGCAGCTTTAACCGTTTTTTTTTATGTATTTTTTTTCCATATATTATTATTGCTGATTTTATTTGTGAGGTGTCTGTTTTTCAGATTGAATTTTACAAATTGCATTTTTTTCACTTTATTTATCAAATCAAATTTATTTGTATAGCCCTTTACAATAGCCAAATTGTACCCAAAGTGCTTTACAACAAACAATACGTAACACATATAAAAACATACAAGATACAATTAAAAGTGCTGTAGTGGTGCAATGCTGCAGGACATTAAAAGCCTTCCGGAGGTGCATAGAAAGGAGCACACAGAAAGATGACATNGGATTATTAAAGTATTTCTGATTCTGATATCTTTTATTTTGAAATCCAAAATGTGCTTTCCTGTTTCTCTTCCGGTTAGCTTATTTTGAATGCTAGTGTGATGCTGCTAGCTGTATTTACATGTTAAAATGGGGAAAGAAGCATTTTTTAAGTGTGTTGAATGTAACGAGAAGTCAGTGGAGCTTCACAGGGATTACAGCAACGGGATCCTCAAGATAACAATATGTGTACGTTTAAATATTTTTAATTTCTTTATTTTAGCCCCAAAAGGAAGGGTTACTCTGTGAGATCAGATCCTTGATAGCTCCATACATGTAAAATATAAGATTTACAAATTCCTAACTAATTTAACCTCGTTAAGATAACGATTCAAGGACTTTTTATTGCTGTTTATTGCTTTTATGTAACATAAAAATAAAGGTAGTCGCCAATAAATGACTGATTTGTTTTGTTTGTTTTCTTTCAGGAGTCCTGTCAGAAACCAGTGGATAAATACATCGAATATGATCCAGTTATTATTCTCATCGATGCCATCTTGTGCAAAGCTCAGGCTTTCAGGCACATTTTATTTAACACAAGCTTAAATGTAAGTAATCCACCAATTCTTAAATTTTTGCAATCTATTTTGATTGCAAAAATTATTGTCTTTAAAAAAAAATATATATATATATATATATATATAATATTATTATTATTATTATTATTATTATTATTATTATTTATTTAAAAAATATATATATATACATATATATTGTCAATGTAATAACAAGAAATGCTAACTTGCCCAAATATATTAAGAAAAATAACAACAGTACTTCTATAAGAAATTCAGGAGAAACACATTTTTTTGGTCCAACATTTTTTTAGTTTATAAACCTAAATATAATTGTTAAACTAGGCTTATTAATTTTTTAACTTTACTTTTTTTTAACTTTTCAATAAACTTTTTTCGTTGACTTGTTAACTTTTTTTCATCTTAATTTCCAGTAGGTAATATATAATTCAAGATATCATCTAATTGGTCAAATGCCAAAATAAGATGCATAGCCATGTAGCAATATCTTTGCTGAATGGCTGGATATAGATCTTTTGCTTCTAGACCTCACTGATGGATACCTGATTTTGATACCTACAGTTTGTAAACATGCTCATAAAAGAATCCCTACTTTTTTAACCCTTTTTGTCAAATTTAAAATATATTTATATATGAAAAGGACGTTAGACAAGGGATGTCAAAGTCAAA